TTACCTATCTCCCTTTGTTCATGAATTCAGTAATAGTTTTAATAACGTTGCAGTTTACCTATCTCCCTTTGTTCATGAATTCAGTAATAGTTTTAATAACGTTGCAGTTTACCTATCTCCCTTTGTTCATGAATTCAGTAATAGTTTTAATAATGTTACAGTTTACCTATCTCCCTTTGTTCATGAATTCAGTAATAGTTTTAATAACGTTACAGTTTACCTATCTCTCTTTGTTCATGAATTCAGTAATAGTTTTAATAAAGTTTATTTACACTTACATGCATTAGTTATTTCAGTATTTCTTTATGCAGCTAGTAGAATCTTATTAGATATAAAACATAATAATGTCACCTGCAATTCCCTTATATATTTATTTAACCTTTGAATATAGCTTATATGTGACTTGCAACCCAGTTTTCCTGAAAGGTGATTAAATATGGTAGATGTTTAATTGTTATGTAAGTAATTATTAATAATGGTGGATATTTCATTGTTATGTAAGTAATGATTAATAATGGTAGATGTTTCATTGTTTTGTAAGTAATGATTAATAATGGTACATATTTCATTGTTATGTAAGTAATGACTAATAATGGTAGATGTTTCATTGTTATGTAAGTAATGATTAATAATGGTAGATAATTAACAATGAAACAATCATTACTTACATATCTACCATTATTAACAATGAAACATGTAAGTAATGATTAATAATGGTAGATATTTCATTGTTATGAAAGTAATGACTTTACGCTGATTTCACGTCCTGTTTTCATAGCGTCACTAAATTACAGTTTGAGGCCGGTTTTCAGTTATGATTGATTTGACCTGCGTATTTCACAAAAATGAATCGCTAATCTTCCTGTAAAAGCGTTTTATTGTGTTTGTAAATAGCCAATAACAGATATATTTTCGTGTAAAATTCTTCAACCCTGTTATTCTGAAGTTCATATTAATCTATATTATTCACTTACTTTGCATGTAGGTAACCATGGCTACTGCAACCCTCTTTCTGATAATTTCTGTACAACTATGTTCAGTCATGGTGTTAGCTCAGCAACACAAAAGTCCAAAGACACTTACCTACCTCTCTGTGACGGATGATCCTCCAGAACTACAAAATGTTCTAGGTCATGGCGACTCTATGCCAGATTTTGTTCGCGACTTCCTCAGTTTTCGAGATGTTCCCATCGCAGGAGTGGATTATGAATTGAGACCAATACCAATTCCTGTTCCTGTTCACTACGAAATACCTGTTCAGAGACCCTCTGGGGATCTGGAAGGGAGGTCTCCCTCTGAACTGGCAGACAAGGCCCCCGTTTCTAGTCTCGAACATCCACAACATGGTCCAGGTCATAGATATATAGAAGGTTATGACCAAAGGTCAATACCTCATCCAAGACCTGAAGTAATAGTTGCTGAATACCCTGAGTACAATGAGAGACCAACTAATCCTGAAACACAGGAAGACACTAAATACCCACAACATTATATTGGCGCTGAACCAGCCGTAGGATATCAGGGCGAAACAGGCCCTACCTATAAAGCCCAACCGTATGGAACACGTATAAAGCCTAGTGAAGAACAATCGACACAAAACGGTAATATTTACCAACTTTATCCACCATCCAGGGAATTTACAGAACAACAGTATCCATCTTCTGACCAACCTTCATCCAGCCAATTCAACTCCCAAGAAGTACCACAGACGTACTATGAGGTTGGACAACCTCAGTTTGAAAGAAAACCACTCCAGGAACAACCAGGTCAATATACACAGTTAGAGAACCGCAGTCCTCCATCACAACCAATATACTATTCAAGACAAGAGATCCCCGAGCAGTTACCTGAAAAACCTGTTAATGTAAAGTACATTGATTCTTCTCAGGAAGCTGCATCATATTACAATCGAGGTGACGAAGACAATTCTCCAAACACCTCAGGTGAAAGACAGTATCAGCCTCCTCCTCAACAACCTGCCTATGTGTACGAAAGACAAGAAGAAGTACCAGAAGAGTCACTTACACCGCAATACCGTCCCGAACCCTCTGTCGACCGAAATACACCACAGTATTCAGTACAAGCCCCTTACTCGGACTCCAGAGAGATTCAGTCTGACCAGCTGTCTTACCCAATAGCTCAACAACCTGAACCACGTTATCTTCAACAACAACCTGAACCTGTTTATGAAAAAGAATCCCGAGAGTATCAGAACCCATCGCGTGAGAGTTATGAAGCCAGACCTCCACTTTCAGTGCAGTATTATGATAATCAAAAATACGCTGGCACTTCTCCCTATAATTATGACAGCCGTACAACCGATAAAGAAGAGTCAGACAAAGCGCGGAGTTCTTCCGAACCACCCCCTGTGAAAAATAGTCAGTTCAATAACGCCTATAGCCCCGCCTTCTCTGGAAGCCAAACTGGGACGTTTTATAAGATTCCAAGTTCTTTTGATTCTCTTATTGACACTGATACTAGTTTCCTGGAAAAGATCAGACCAGTAGAACAACAGAGTTCAGAACAGCAACAACGTGAAGAAAGTGTATACTACCCCAAACCTTCTTCATCTGAAGGATACGTAGAGTCAGCTAGGCTTCCATCTTCAACATCAGCCAAACACTCCAGTTCTCCTTATGCTCAAGAATACCGTTATCACCCACCAGCTCCCACGTCATCCGTTACAGACGTACATTCACCACATACTCATCCATCTTATCAAGCCCTGTCCGACGACAGCCTGGAGCATAAAACGACAGGCTATACCTACGAAGACTTGGTAAATAATCGTCGTCTCCCTGGTGAGCCAATAATCTCTTATCGACGGGAAGAAGACACCCTACCCCTTCCACAACGCTTGCTACGTGCTCGAAAGCCAGTTTTACCTGTTCCTGAGCAAGAAGTATATAGAAAGAACGGATCGAATCCGAGAGAAAGCTACTCGTATTCTTTCCATCTACCCAGTGATAAAGAACTATCCATATTGGACTTCCGGACCGGAAGTAAAGACGGAAAACCAACCAAGAAAGCTGACCGGATTCAGGGCAGCATACACAGAGGTGTGCGAAAAATTGACGAAAAAATGCCCGAAAAACGTAAAGATGGATCTCTGAAGGGTCCACTAGAAAAGAACACTGAACTATCTTCCAGCAGAGTTTCGTTTTCTGAAGAGGATGTCCAGCTTTCGAAGCGCACCAAGCGAAGCATACAGTATACAAGAACAGATGCCACGCCCAATAAAATGAAAAGCGCGACTCTTGCACAGAAATACGGCCGTTCTTCTAAGCATCCTTCGGTGTTTAAGTTCTTTCGAGTAGTCAGCTTGGGAGGTCCTGCAGGTGCAAACCAAACGGTCTTAGTTGATTCGAGGATATTCACAGACAAGCATGGTTCTCCCGTTCAAATCCTCACCGAAACTCGTCCCCATTTTGAAAAAAGTAGCGAATCAAATCGCGAACAAAACATCAAAACTGATGAAACTCCCACGTGTGCTAAAAACACATCTCTCTACTGCCTCGAAGATGAAGATTATCCAAGGTAAATCTAAGTGTTTTACTTTATTCTTTAGTATACATTGAATCACCATTGTCTGGATATAGGAATTTGTCTTAATTAGATTGTTAAAGCATTTTGAACTAATAACTACCGAAGTCCGTTAGTTTTTTTTGTCTAAGAACGAAGCTACACAATGGGCTATCTATGATCTGCCCACCGCAGGTATCGAAACCCGAGTTTTTGCGTTGTAAGCTGTGAGACTTGTCACTGAGCCATCAGGTAGCAGCTACTTAAGATCAGCTCTATTTACTAAAGGAGGTTACTTTAAAAACTGTGCACATCTTGGTTTTTTTACTTTAAAAGTTGTGCACATATTGGTTTTTTCACTTTAAAGTTGTGCACATCTTATTGTTTGTTTTGCTTTGAATTTAGTCCCAGTCGCTCAGCGATAAGTCTGAAGGCTTATAACCCTAAACACTGGGTTTCAATAGCCGTGGTGAGCACAACACAGATAGGCCATTATGTACCTTTGCGCTTAACAATAAACAAACTAAATATACAACAAACGTATCACGATAACTAACAACAACGCCTAAATTAAGCCAAATATTACCTGGTTATTTCTTCCAATTAAATTTCCTGAATATAAGACAAAAAGGTCAATTCCACTTTTCTATACAAACTACATATCATGATGACTCATTACATATTGCTGAACATTTGAACTAGGCTTAACAACATTTGGAAGTACAGTGGTGTAGGAAGGTGTTGTAAAGTGTGGGTGCTTGTCTAGATATCCAGGTTTTATAATGAGAGATTGAAAGTATAAGGAGGTGCCAAAAACAGCTCAATCTAGGGGTTGTGGGGGCATGCCCTCAGAAAATTAATATAATAGTATAATTTATGGTTGCTATAGAAGTCAAATATGTCAAGTGGGGATATTACAACTCTCCGACGCCTCTGAAGTATATCCACTAAATAGCGTCCTGTAGTTTTTAGGTTTAAATGAAGGACTCATGATACAGTTTTAAATTAACTTTTCTCGTATCCACTCTGTTTAATTATCATTTGTAAAGAATTAAGCAGAAAGCATTCAACTGTTTTATTATAACTCTTTTTTTTTTGGAAACTTCAAGAAGGTCGTGACTCTAATGCTCCTAAAGTAACTGTACAATCGTAAGTACCAAGCTCAAGAAAGAGATCATACTATTGTCGATGACACATAAACAATGTTACACAGTGAACCACCACTATTATACATTTAAAATACCTTCAGGTTTCTCCATTTAGAAGTCATCCTCGAAAAACCTACTTTTTTAGCTCAAAGGTACATATTGGATTATCCAAGCTGTGTCCAAAGCAAGGCTTGAGCCTCAAATTTTAGCGCTATAAAACTTTAAGCTTACCGCTGAGTTACTGGTGGAATTATGGGAAAGAGGAAATATTTTTTTTTATTTTGTTCATATCTTCGAATTATGATTTTGATCCCTTTTTTTTTCTATCTCTCTCCAAAAACTTGAAACAACTCTCAATAACAGTGGTTTTATTTGTTGGCCAGTGTATGTCAAAAAAGTTCATATAAAACTAATACTATCAAGTATCGTTAAAATATTTTAATTTGTTGTTTAACACTCATTGGAAGGGAGGGAGGGAAACATTTTGCCAGAGGAGGGGAATTTAAGGTAATGAAGACTGCCTAAGATAATGAGATGGACATATTAAGATTGATAACTCTGGTATATTTAAGAAAATCTAAAAACGCTGAAAATAAAATTAACCAATATGCCCCACGGACGTGGCCTAGTAGTTAAAGTGTCGGGCTGCGGACTGAAGTTAGAAACATAACACTGCTGAACACATTCCCCACTTTCAGTTGTGGGCGCGTTATAAAAGTGAGAATCAATACCGTTATTCGGTTTCAAGAGCCGGTAAAGCCCTTGCGGCAGGAAGTGTTAGTACCTCATTTTCCTAACTCTGATCAGTAGTTCAAAAGTAGACATGGCTATAAGTTCTAACTGAATCAAAGGGGTCACCGTTTAGGTTGAAAGTTACAATTTCAACTAAATGTGTTTGTTTGTTGAATTTCACTCAAGGCTATTCGAGGGTTATCTACGCAAGCGGTCTTTAATTTGGAAGTGATAGTCTAGAGGGAAGGCAGCTAGTCAACAACACCCACCACCAACTCTTTTATCAGACAGTCACACGTGGCCCTAAAGTGAGGTATCGGGGGCGCGAGACACAGTACCTCAGATCCACAGTCCGGCACGTTAATCCAACTGTTTATTTGTTTATTGAATTTCGCGTTAAGCTACTCGAGGTCTATCTGCTCTAGCCGTCCCTTATTTAGAAGTGATAGACTAGAGGGGGGGGGGGCAGTTAGTCAACACCACCAAGAAAAGTGGAATAGACCGTCACAGTATAATGCTGAAAGGGCGAGTATGTTTGGTGACGGAGTTCGAACACGCGACCCACAGATTGCGAGTTGAGTTCCCTAACAAACAGGCCTCCAACTATGTAAGTGTATTTGATAAAATCAATAATATATTGCATATTTCAGTGAAAACATCTTACAGACTCACCCGTGTTTCTTCCAATATCGATAATATATATACTGTGTTTTTTTGTCAAGCAGAGATGTTATTTTCGATGCGCTGTCCTCCAATCAAAAGATCGCAGACTTGTTAAAAACAAAACGTCTGACAGACGAAGAAGCTCCGGAACGCCATCTGCCGAAGCAAAACGGAGATTTACAATGCCCTTTGATAAGAAGAAAAGTGTTTCCTCTTCGAGTGAAGGACACAAAAGGACTCTGGCAAATCGTAGTAAATGTGGAGGGATTCCGACAAGGAGTGTGGATAGAAACTTGTGTGTAAGTATATATACGTATGTGTGTACTTGTGTGTGTAAACTAACCTTAATCGATACTGACAACTGAAATGTAAGTATATATATACGTATGTGTGTACTTGTGTGTATAAACTAACCTTAATCGGTACTGACAACTGAAATGTAAGTATATATATATATATATATATATGTATATATACGTATATGTGTGTATAAACTAACCTCAATCGATATTAAAAACTGAAATTCTCAGGGTACGTTACTTTCTTTAATACTTAGTTCCAAGGAATGGATTTTTTTTTATTCAACTAGTGTTTGTAATCCAGTGATTTCCAAATTTCTTCCACTGCCGACACCTA